AAAAAAAAAAAAAAAAAGAAAAGGAGCAGTAAGTGGGAAGGTGGGCATGAGACACTTGCAAGGATTTGATCCTGGGAGGAGGAGACCAGCTTAATGACTGCAGTGGCCAGTGCCGTGATGTTTGATCCCAGAGATAAGACATCTCTGATCAGCCAAAGTCCACTTTTTCCAGAAAAAGTGGAAATGCCAGAAATTGCCCAGGGAGCTTATTCACAGTCTTAGGATTTATAACCACTGTTTTCTCTGAAGACGCCTTCAGTGTTTCTCTGTGGTCCTAAAGATGAGGGTAGCAGGAAGTGGAAGAGAGCCAAAAAGAAGGTATGAGACTGGGGACTGAGTATCGTGTAGGATGGGAGACGGCCTCAGAGGCAGACCGAGATGACATGGGGGAGAATCTCCATGGTGGTCCAGATGGCTATGTGACTTTCTTCCAGCAAGGGCACTGCTCTGCCATTGGGTGGAAGAAGCAGGTGGAGTCGCTCTTAGGGCTTGTCTGGTGGTTGACGGAAGAGAGGCAGAATGCTAAGAATTGGTAGTGTGGACAAGTGATGTTGGCAGTAAAGGGACAAGAAACCAGCAAACGTGGATTATAGACCCAAGAAGATGTCAGGGTAGACAGGAAAAAGTCATGTTGTGATAGTCGGGCAGAGCTGGAAGAGTATCTGGGGCCAGAGAGGGGAGCTGGATTTGGTCTCTCAAGGTGCTTTTCATGGCATCGCAGCCGCCTGTGTGTCTCTCCTGACTCAGTACTAAGTCAGTAGTGAGTAATCTTTCCTTGATGGGGAAATGGTTGGCAGGGAATTCAGTGAATTCTGAATTGAACTTCAGTGAATTCTGATCCTATAATGAAACATTTCCTTTTAATTATTCCAGATACCTGTCTCAGCTTTTTGTCTGCTTGAAGCATATTTCTTCTCTTGTCCTTTGAGCAGCCAGAATGGATGCGTTAGATGTGTGGGCTCTGTTAAGAGGCTTCTGCCGGATGCCTGTTGTCACTCCTAAATGTAACACCACAGCCAGAATTGATGGAGGGTTGGGTTGCAAGCTTTTAGGACTAATTGCAAAGTCTAAACTAAAACATTTCCTGGAGCTGCCTTTAAATAATAATAATAATACCTTGTATAGATATAGTGCTTTACAATTTACCAAGCACTTTCACATACATCATCTCATTTAATCTTCACAATAAACAGTGCTTTTTGGATGCTTAGATCTTTCCTAAGTGAGAAATCATGTCGCACATCCTGATTTAATCATAGTGAGTCACCAAAAGTTCTTGATACAATAACCATTTATCGCATACCTTCTGTGCACAAAGCACTTTACTAAGGATACCAAGGGGTAAGGTTTCAGTAGATAAATACTCAGTCGGTAGTACCTACCAATAAAAATGATCCTGCCTTGTAATTTACTTTTCCCTTCCTCATCCCAGGTACCATTTTGGAGGCTACTTGCTATGCCATAGATTTATATAAATATTGCCCAGAATTTATTGTATTGGAGTTGAAGTTTTTAAAACTAAGGATTTTGATACTTTACTAAGTTCAGTGATTTGTCAGAAAGTCATTCTATTTCAACTTGGGCTTTCTTAAAGATTATCTATTACTTGAATCTCAGGAGAAATATTTCAAGTTCTTAGCATGTCTGAAAATGTCTCCCCATTGAGTTCATCGTGCTGATTGGGATGATTAGAGTACAATTTGCCCCTTGGCCCCAGAAGGCTTGTTATCCAGTAGAAGAGAAGACATGGTCATCTCTGGGCTTTGCAAGCCAGACTAGGATGCGCTGAGGGGGCTCAGAGACTAAAGACTCCCAGGACGCTGCCCTCTCAGTGAGGTGAGAAATGAAGGTCATGTTAGAGCCAGGCCAGGGCAGGACTCTTGAACCTGTGTCCTAGATCCTCCCAAGTGTCCAGACATGTGCTCTGGGCTCCAGACATGTGGCTCCTCAGAGAATAAGCAGGCTTTAAGGTCCAGCTCAAGATCCTCCAAAAAGCATGGAACCCCCAACCCCCAAATAATAGGAACCCTGCCGTTGAAGTCCCCTGGGTAGAGTGGCTCCCTCAGAATGATCAGTATGACCTGCAAACCATTATTCTTTCCCCCATCAAGGGCTGGTTAAGGCCCTGAGGGCTGACGTTGAACCTCAGCTGAGAAGTGCGTTTTGTCAGTGAAACACAAGTGTTCACAGGGGTGCTGATGGTGAAACAGGTCACCTTGGCACAGCTGTTACTTCTCCATCTGTCTTCTTGCTTGTTTGGCAAGCGAGTTAATTTTATTAACTCTGGTGTTAACATGGTTCTCACTTAGCTATTTACATGGGCTTGTGGCTTGGGAATGGGGGAAGACAAACACAAGTGGCTTAATATATATATGTTTTACTGGTGCACACATTTCCTGGACACCCTGCTTTTCCAGAAAGTTTTCCCATGATAACATCTTTTTAAATAACAGCTTCTGTGCTTTACAAGGGAGGCTAATGTCTGGATTGCCAAACTGTCTCTTGGTCCTTTTGATATGGATCAAAAGCCAAAGAACTCTTCCTTCTTTTTGTTGGGCAGATGTGCCTAATGCTTTATTTTGACAGAGAATATGCAGCCAGCATCTGAGCATCCTATAAATACTCCAGAGAGGAACACAATTAAGATAGAGTGTGGAGCTGGGAGTTTGAGCGTTAACTCTAACTGATGTTTCCGACTGGGGCTGGAAACGTGCTTTACATAATTGTGTTCTGATTATTTAGGTCTCTCTTTATAGGGCATCTTTTATGACCAAGACTGTCCAGTACCAAAATGAGCTACATAAATTCCTAATCTGGGATACAGCTGGACAAGAACGAGTAAGTCACTCTTTAATTTACTCTGTTTTTCTGAGGCCCAAATGAAAGCTCCAACTAGACTGTCAACGTCCCTGTCACCTCACGGTACTCACTCCTCTGCTGTGCACTGGAGACGCGTTTATTTCCATTTGCATAAACCAGCCTTTTTCTTTTCAATTAGAGCCACAAAGTCCACTGATGGAGAAAGTAATAATGGGCACTGAGGGCATTTTTATACTTTTGAGTGTCTTAAAGTAAATGCTGACTAACAGTCCTGATAAAAATCCCATTCTGAGCGTTGTGTGTAATTTGGGGCTCTGTCCTCTAGTAGAAATATATAAAAGAATTAGTGGTAGAAAGGGAGAGTTAAACACAACTCATTTATGGCCACCTTTTAAAAGCTAAAGGAGGAACCTACAGTGTATAAAGTTTGAGATTTAAGTGAAAAGGATGAGCTAACGCAATGCCTTGCAATAGGTACTTAATAAATGCCAACTGATAAAAACTGGCCACAATGCTTATCCTTTTAAGGAAGAGCCTGTATCAGAAATGGGGCCTGGCCACAGCAGCATCGTGTCACAGGGAGCCCGACCCAAAGTCGGGGGGCAGGAAGGCAGGGGAGGGGTCAGACACATGCCTGCTGCTTCATCTTCTCACTGAGTGCCTCTGACAGCCGCCCCATTATTCAGCTGCCATTTAATTTTGTTTTCAAACAGTGCTATCCAAACAGCACGTCTGATGGATGCACAGTGCTATCTTAAGCTCTTAAAAGTACACCAGAAGTAATCAGGAAAAATAGTCTGTCATCACAGTCTTATCTGAGACAACATGGATACTGCGTATGGTATAAAATCTGACAAGAATCATCACCAATGAATACAGGGAAACAAAACAAACCATTAGCGTTGTCCCAGACATGAACGCCAGGCCTCTGTACAGATTAATGGCTGCTCCTGCTTTAATGCCAGCTGCCGTGCCCCTGTCCAGTTACTCATCTGAGGTACCTTAGGCACTGTCTTCCATTCCCCACGTCTCTCCTTTGCTTGTGGTGTCCATCTGGAATGGAGCATTTAGGACAGCTAGACCTTTGCCAACCATCCCTCTTCCTTCAGGAGCGTCACTTGCTACAGGGTCCTCCTGAATATATGTGCAGACATAGCCCTGGGGTCTTTCCTATTAGCCACAAACTCATTTGGCTCTTCCCCCTAGTGATATATCTGCCTTCCACTGAATCCCAAGTTTCAGTTTCCCCCTCACATGTATTTGATGAAACACCAAAGCCCTCATGAGGAATCGTGCTGTATACATAGGTTCCATTGTTCTTCGAATCAGAGCCCGTCCTGGTATGCACAGTGATGTGTAATAACATCTTCTTTTTCTAGAACGTGGAAACAGAGTCACCCTAGAGTATGTGCCTTTCCCTTTCTCCTGCCCTGATGGTGAGAGTTGTGGAAAGTTCTGATGAGCCAGTTTGCCTGCCTTTTGTTTGCTCACTTCTAAAAGGTTGCCCAGTTAGAGGTGCCGCTGCTCTGAGAGGCAGACCTGCCCCCCACCTGAAGCATCAAACAGCCCAGAGCTGCACAAGAGATGCTTGTGGGGTCAGGCCACAGGTCAGGGGCGCAGAAGAGGGGACGGGGAGCGCACCTCCAGCAAGCACTCACTCCAGCCAGTCGTTGCTGGGTGAGAGCTTATGTCCAGAATGGCCAGATGGCAGTGCTTTAGAAAACCTAAACTTCTGTCAGCTAATCACAAGTCATTTGAAATTCTGAGAGAAGTGAGCAAGGCACGTCTAGACGCCCGTTTGGGGTCAAAGACTGCCCATTTGTCCTGGGCACGGCATTCAAGGTCCGGAATGTGCCACTTGCAGCCAAAGTCAGCACTTCATCCCCTCCGGCAGTCTGTCCTCTAGTACCAAACTGCTTGTTGCTTTCCGGCATGCAGGAGGATTTCACACCCACATACCCATGCTCCCACTTTTGCCTGGAAAACTATTCAACCTACAAGACCCACCTCCAATGTCACCTACAGGGAGGTTGCTCATACCTGAGCCTGAAGGTCACCTTGGATTCCTCTCTCATCCTCAGCACTCGACCCTTGCTCCAGCAGGATATCCTGACAACCCTGTTTTCTAAATATATCTCAGATATACTCACCATCTCCACCCCCAGCACCCTGCTCGCAGCCAAGTATTCCTGTAGCCTCCTCGACTCTCCCCTGCTTCCCCTCCACCCAGCCCAGACTTGTGGCACTTCTCCTAAGGACCCAGAGGAGCCTCTGGAAAGCAGAGAACAGACCCTATTATCTTCTTGTGTAACACCCTTCACTGCTTCTCTCCCCATAGCCAGCGTTCTGAACAGAGGTCTGCAAAGCCCTCTGTGCCTGTTCCCTGCTCTCCTCAGGGCCCCCTTGGGCCCTCCTCTGCACTCCTGTCTTCCAGTGCTCCTTGCCCTCAGGCATGTCCACACATTGTTCTTTTCCCTGGAACTTTCTCTTCCTTCCACTCTGGGCATGACCAGCTGGCTCCCCTCACTATCCCTTTAGCCTCAGGTTAAATCCCACAGCCTTGAAGTCTTTCCTCACCCCCGTACCTAAGCAGGTTCCCCATTCATTCCTTATCACTGCCCTCATTCATTTTCCTCAGAACACTCATTACAAGTTGTAATTAGATGTCTCTTGACTTACCTTCATCGACAGTTTCTCCCACCACACTAGAAACTTTGAGAGCTGGGACCACAGCGTCTTATTTACTGCTGTGTTCCCGGTGCCTGAGCATAGTGCCTGACATTGCAGTGGTTGGGTGCTGGTTGGGGAACCAGCGAATGAACTCGTGGGGGCACTTATTTGTATCTGAGCAGTGTTTGATTGCCCTCATCCATGAGGTTGCCACCTGTTTGCTTAGTTGTCTTCCGTTAGACTGTGAGCTCCTTGAGAGCAGGGACTATCTTCCTATCTCTGCTCTCCCCCCTGGCATGTGGTATTTATGTCAGCTGATTGCCAGCCCTGCTTAGGACAGATAAGGACAAATATTCTACCTGCTTTTACAGTGTTGAGCAGTGCATGACTCAAATAATAAATTTTTGGTGTTTGCATGGTTATCACTTAGTTCTCTGTATTTATGAGATTTATTATGGAACTGAAAGTCACCATAAAATGAAAAGCCTTTTTTGATTAACCGATTGCAGAGTGATTTCAGTGAGTCGATGGAAGCAACGTTGGAGAATTTCTCAAATGTCACAAAAAGCTCTTGATGGTAGGGATCTTGTTAAATTAAATGAAGGATAAAAATATTGATAAGGATGATGGTATAAATGCTTCAGAAGGTAATGATCTGTGTATCAAAGGGTTAAGAGGGGCCTAGGGAAAATTGATGGAACCCTTAAATATTTTAGTTTTTATGATAAGACTCTGAAAGTCAAACACATAGTGAATAATTTTGTATTGTACTAGCAGGTAGTTTTATCAGAAGGACTGTAGCCAAATTATCAATCGGCTTTGATTCAGTGTTCATCAAAAAAATTAGCTTTCAGCTGTAATTGAAAGCCTGTGTTTTTTCAAATACGAGGTAAAGTGAAACTTGTTTTCATGATTTTTAATTTTATTTTCTCAAAGTAGAGCTTCTATGAAACCTTTTGCCCCTATTACTTTGCCATCCTAAATAAATTTATTCTAAGTCATTTTTTTCACCAATTATCCTTCACTAACAAAGCCTCCTGCAGTAGTATCAAAACAGATACAGCAAATACATAAGTACACACCATAAATGCATACCATAAATATACCAGAAATGCAGCAAAAGCATTTCACATTCTTGCAGTCTGTATGTGGTAATACAGAACTTTTAACCAGAAAATAGTAGACATTGCGTATGGCCCTTAAAGATTATATTTCCATATCTTAATTGTGCTTTCTCCCAATGACTGTTTTCACAGAGGTCAGGACACCAGGAAGGCACAGACTTGATTGTCACAGTAGTTGTGTAAGAAATTGTTCTCATGTTTAAAATCTGGAGCAGCTCTAGTGGCTCAGAATCCTCTAGAGCTGAGTTCAATGATAACAGAAACTGGAGTCTACAGTGTACCATCCACCGCCCAGCATACAAACAGGATTACCACACACAGAGAGAAACAGGAAAACATGAAGTAGAAGCAAACCCCAAAGTGACCCTGTTACTAGAATTTGCAGACACAGAATTTAAAGCATATTTTAAATATGTTCAGAGTGTTAAACGTAGTCCTAATGACTTGACTACAGATGGGAAATCTCCCACAAAATGGAAACTAATAAAGAGGCAAATGGAAATGCTAAGACCAAAAACTGCAATATCTAAGAGGAAGAATTCACTGGATGGGTGATAGACCAGAGTAATCAGGAAAATGGGGTAAAAAAAAGTAGGAAACGTGAAGAGTCTCACACGGAGGGATCATAGGGGTACACTGAGACCATCTGAACACAGGTGTGACTGAAGACCCAGAAGGAGCAAAGAGGGATGTGGGAACAGAAAACAAGACTTTTCAAGAACTAATGGCTGAAAATTCCCCCAACTGGTGAAATTTACAAATCCAAGAAGTTTAGGAAACCTTTACATAGAAAGAAAACCATATCTAGGTACATCAAAATCAAACTGCAGAAAACCAAAGATAAAGAGAAAATGTCAAAAGCAGCCAGAGGTAGAAGACCCAGGGCAGTAACCGTGTAAGTGATGGGTAACTTCTCACTGCGACAGGGGAGCCCAGAAACATTAGAACAGTGTCTTCCTGAAAGGGCTGCAAGCAAAAACCTGTCAGCTGCCAAAATTATCTTTCAAATAGGAAGTCAAAGTAAGGGCTTTTTTATAAAAGCACAAACTGAGAATTCATCAGTAACAGTCTCTAAAAGTTTTTTAGGCTAAAGGAAAGTGACACCAGATGATAGCTGAGATCAGTAGGAAGCAATAGGGTAACTGGCTATTTGATTCAAAAATTATAACATTGGATTGTACAGTTTATAGTGTATATAGATTTAAGATTTTTGACAATTATACAAAAAATAGGTGAAACACATTCTTGCAAAGTTCTGATATTACATGGAGTACATTTTAAACTCTTAAGTAGACTGTAGAAAAATCTACACTGTATGTTGTTACAAGAGCAACCACTTATAAAAATAATACAAGAAAATATAGCTAAAAATCCAGTTGAGGAATTAATATATTAAAATTGAATACTAAAAAAATTCAATTAATGCAGAAGGGTAGGTGGAGGAATAGAGAAATTTAACAAGAAATGAAACAACTATAAAATAGCAGAAAACAGAAAAAAAATCAGGGCCAGGCACAGTGGCTCATGCCTATAATTATAGCACTTTGAGAGTTCTCAGGGGGAGATTACTTGAAGACAGGAATTTGAGACCAGCCCGCGCAATACATCAAGACACCGGCTCTTTTAATTAGCCAGGAGTGATGTCTACATATCTGTAGTCCCAGCTACCCTGGAGGCTGAGGCAGGAAGATTGCTTGAGCCCAGGAGTGCAAGACTGCAGTGAGCTTGGATGAAGCCACAGTGCTCTAACTTAGGCAACCAGAGCTAGACTTTGTCTCTAAAAATTAGTAAAATAAGTAAAGTAGCAGACCTAAACCAAATATACCAGTAAGCACATTAAATGTAAAGGAACTGAACATTGCACTTAAAAGGCATAGTTTGTCAGATTATATCATAAAGTAGAACCTCAGGATATCCCTGTTATAAGAGAATGACCTTAAATATAAAATCAAAGAAAACAGAGATTGAAAATTAGAGAATGAAAGGGAATATTCTATGCCAATAATAAGCAAAAGAAAACTATTGTGTTTATAAGAATATCAATAAAATAGACTTGAAGACAAGGGTCACTACCAAGGTTAAAGGGGGACACCATAAGAAGAATCTTAGGGACCCTTCTGTGTTGATAGATGTATAGATGTATAAATTTTATACATTTGTCTGTTTATCAGATTGTGCTAAGATCTTTGCTTTTCTCCACATGAACTTTATCTTACAAATTCGAAGAAAGAAAAAAAACACACCCTGTAAGGGGCACTGCCAACTTGGGCACATCTAATCCAGAAGCTCCCCCCACAGCCCGTCTGTCCTGTGCCTGCTTCCGTCTCAGTGCCTCTCGCGCTGGGGAAGCCGGTACAGCCCTTTAAGTCTTTACGTCATTATGTCATCTCCTTTTCTGTACTGCGTTCTTGCTTACAACCTTTATTTCTGTTCTCTCTCAAAGTTAATCTGTCGTTTTACTGGAAGTTAGTAGGCTTTCAGCCCACAGTCACGGATTCCTCTCACAAAGACTGGTAAAAGTTTCTGAGTCTGGACATCTGGGTCCAACGCTTAGTTTGCCCTCCCCATTGGCTCACCAGGTTTTGGTTACCGACAGTGTGCCAGGTGCTAGGCCCCAGGATGAAATGGCATCATGCTCAGTGGGGGTATTGACTTCCTAGTAGAGGAACAGTCAGAACTTCACTTCCTTTGTAAAACTCAAACTAATATAAAAGTTTAAAAGCCAAAGGATCAAACTCATCGGATAAGAAGTTAAAGAATTGATAATTCAGTATGCAGATAAAGTGTGTGCACCAGATGGCTCCCTGTGGTGACGATTCTTACCTGTGTTTGTAGGTAAGCCACCAGAAACAGAACAGGACGTGAGTTCAGTAGTGGCATGTAGGGGTATAAGGTAAAGATCAGGTATGTGAGGTCGGACAATTAAGTTCCCAAATTCATCCTAGAAAAAGGGCTGCGTACCTCATTGCTGAATCTCATCACTGTGGTCACCTTCAGAGCGCTCTTCATGGGACACTGTAAACTGATGCCAGCCCCTAGTGCACCCTTCTAAGCAGTTTGGTAGCTCCTTTTCTGGAATAGCCATCAGAGTTCTCATTGTACAAGATCTGACAATTGAACAGGCGAACTCATCCTCAAAAAAAGTGCTTTGAAGGGTGGACGAGGCACTGAAGTCATCCATAGCTTCGGCAATGAGGTTATGTAGCACTTTTTCCAAGCAGGAGATCGTGAACATAATTGTCATACCTCGTAGGCAAAATTCTTATGTTAAACATTGGCATCACGTTCAGTGAGTAAGATACACACACTGAGATGTGTGCCCAGGAACTGAAGTGGACAGGGTAAGAGTTTCCCATTTTCCATCTCACACTTCCCAAGAAAAATGGCCTGCTAAATCACCCTGGCTATTTAACTAGTTATCCCTCTCTGTTCCCTTTTCTTTCCCCCCTATTATGTGTATCAGAGAAGGGAGGTGGGTGAGTGGGAAGAAAATCTGAGTACAAAGTTGCATTCATGTAAATGAAATGAGGTCTGTACCCAGCATTTGGGAATTGCCAAGTGCATGTAAATATCAAAAAAGCAAGTAGCAAACTCATCCAAGTCGTGAATGTAAATGTGGACTCATTTCTGAAGGACAATCAGCATTTAGATTACAGGGTTTTCTTTACGACACCCAAATGCAGCCCCTTCTCTAGAGAACTATTTACAGCATTATTTTTATCTCCGTGATAGTTTGGGAAGCCAAAGTTTAAAGGGCTGTTGAACAAATGAATTTGGGAATTATAACATTGAGTTCAATTAAAAAGCCTTTTTAACTGAAACAATTGTTTATAGCACCATATTTAATTCCTACAAAACTGTATTCGAATCTATCTTCTGAGAGACATTTCAGCGTTACATTAAAAGTTTTTGCCTTTGGTAATTACTGGTTCATTTGCTTTAAAGCATCATGTCATCATCTTTGACTTAAGAAAAAGAGTACCTTTTGTGCAGAGATAATGGCTTAAAAGTCTAGGGAAAAAACATATTTAACCAGTTTTTCCAATTTCGTTGTTTATTTTCCCCCCCTCCTCTGCAGTTTCGTGCCTTAGCACCAATGTACTATCGAGGATCAGCTGCAGCTATAATCGTCTATGATATCACAAAAGAAGTAAGGATATGTATCGTTTTCTTCAGACTATTTTGAAAACTCTTTTGTAATTGCTTAGCTCCCCAGTTACTATTCTTTCTTGTGTTACAGGAGACATTTTCAACATTAAAGAATTGGGTAAAAGAGCTTCGACAGCATGGCCCACCTAATATTGTAGTTGCCATTGCAGGAAATAAGTGTGATCTTATTGATGTGAGGTAAGTTATTAGAACAAGAAATTACAATGCCGATGATGTGTTTCTTTTCTTAATGAGCAATATCCAATATAAGAATTTTGCTTTTATTTTATCTCTGACTTGAAAAATGTCTTTTGATTATGTGGTTGGAGTCGTAAAGTTTCAAACTACAATTAAAATTTCAGGCATTGGGAGCTAGTTATATAGAGAGATAGGTGTATAATTTACCTAAACATCGGTCACATCTCACTTGACATTGTGTGAGATCACTGCAGCCCCCAGGCTTCCATGACAGAATACTTAAATGCAGAAAGCACATGTATTGGCAGTTTTTCTAGGCTACTTCCATGATTCCCAAAGCAAGGGCCTTTTTTTTTTTTTAATTTGAGGGGCAAGAAACCCTGTTGTTCTTTGATCACTCTGTTAGCTGCATTGCTAGCAGTGCTGAATTTTGCTTTGTTTAACAATAGGAATGGTATAAGTGGGAGCACCACGTGTCAGGACTCAAAGGGCAACCATTGAGGACATCCTTTGCCATCATAAATGTGGTTAATTACTGGGTAGGCGGGGGG